TGTGTCATCTTTTCGGACGAGCACAGTTGTGTTGCCTCCTTATTCACACTCTGCAGGTCGAGACTGCTGCCTTCTTCGGTTGTCACCACGGTAAGGCGAACACCAACATCCCTTCTCATCCTTGCCTTCTCTCTTTCAACCCTTGATACATGCCATCTATCTCTCACTCTCCCTTTTACTCTGTCAATCACTCCCCATTTCTCCTATTTTGTGTTACTATCCCTTTCTGCATTGTCGGAAACATCTCTCCCATGTAAGCGTCAATATTTATATCCACACTTCCATCTTTTTTTGGCTCTTCGGCATTTCTCCCTCTATCGTTCCGCTCTCTTCCTCCAGTTGATAAATAATATTTGCATACATAGACGGTTCTGCATCATGTGTAAACATTAAACCTCTAAAGTTTGCATTCCTTTCTGGGGAGCATTACACACACAGACATCCCACCCATGCATCAACACATGCAATTCTTCATGTATTTTATGTTTCAAACTTTATATTACACCCAGATTAAAGCGTGGGACACTTCACAGCTAAAGATCGCATCACAAACTCACTTCCTCTTTGTGCAACCTAGTCTAATGCAAAGTTATTACTCAGTAAATAGCACTATGCAAAAGGCTTGTGGCCTCATTTTCTAAATGGGAAAATGTAACTGGTTCATCTGATCAAACTTAATATATCCAAGATGGCGTAGCAGTGCGGTCGTGTACTATGTGTGTGTTTGTGTAAATAGCCTGTTTTTTGTATTTATTTTTGTATTTTTCGTACATATTTCCCTATCACACTTTTCATCCTTCTACTAAATATACTTTCCTGCAACCCGCCTCACTCAATGTGGAACGGATTCTATTATTGACTTACCTTTTATCTAGAATCTCCAGTTGAAACTAGCTAGCCAGCTAACTAGCTACTTGCTATTAGCCACCGTTAGCGGTTTTCACCCAGAACATCAGATTTTCTGCCGGAATAACTGAATCACTGGACATTAACACCGGATCGCAACTAGCTAGCCGCAACCGAATGGATGTTGCTGTTGGATAATCACCACTACCCCCGAAGCAAGCACTAGTTAGCCTTGAGCTAGCCTCGAGCCAGGCCCATATCCCGGCTATCTACCTCTCTGTCTACTGGACGGGAGTAGCCAGCTAACTAGCTACTTGCTATTAGCCACCGTTATCGGTTTTTCACCATTGTCCGTGGCCTGCACCACCTACCAGCCAGCTCTAGCCTGGAATATTATCGGCCAGTCTGCACTGTCTGCACAGCGTGTTATCGACCGAGAACATATCTTTTTTTCTGCCGGAATCACTGGATCACTGGACCTTTAACTCCAGATCATCGCAACTAGCTAGCTGCAACCAAATGGATGTTGTTGTTGGCTAATCAGCCTTGAGCTAGCCTCGAGTCAGGCCCATCTCCCGGCTATCTACCTCTCTGTCAACTGGACGGGACCTCCTAGAGTCGACACGGAGCCCCGCCGATCCATCACGACTGATCTGCCGACATAATCGTCTGTGGTTTCAACAGGCTTCCCGTTTCGACGACCACGAAGATCCATCTGCTAGCCCCGGCCCGCTAGCACACGCAAACAACAGCCGTGCTTCCTGCTAGCCAGTGCTGTAGCACCAATTCGAACTGCTCTCGGACTCAGATATTGCTGTTCACTGGACCTTATGATCACTCAGCTGCACAGCTGATGCCTGCTGGACTGTTCCTTTACGCGGTACCCTGTCCTGTTTATCTGTTTAGCCTCAGCTCAAACTTTCATCGCCATTACCAGTTGTTGTCTTAACTCTCTTGAATAACACCTGTGATTGCTTTATGCCTCTCTCCCATGTCAATATGCCTTGCCTATTGCTGTTCCAGTTAGTTCTTATTATACAATTTCACTGTAGAACCCCAAGTCCCTCTCAAACTGCCTCAAATAGTTCCTTTGTTCCACCCCCCATACACGCCGAGACCGGCTCAATCGGTGCCCCCAGTGATGCTATCTCTTTCATTGTTACCCAACGCTTAGGTTTACCTCAACTGTACTCATATCCTTCCATATCCTTTTCTGTACATAATGCCCTGAATCTTTTCTACAACGCCCGGAAATCTGCCCCCTTTACTCTCTGTACCCAACGCACTAGAAGACCAGTTCTTAAAGCCTTTAGCCATATCCTTATTCTAGTCCTCCTCTGTTCCTCTGGTGATGTAGAGGTTAACCCTGCAGCCCCCAGTATCACTCCTACTCCCCAGGAGCTATCATTTGTTGACTTTGGTTTTTTGCATGTTAACATCAGAAGCCTCCTCCCTAAGTTAGAGTTATTCACTGCGTTAGCACACTCCGCCAACCCTGATGTTCTAGCAGTGTCTGAATCCTGGCTTAGGAAGGCCACCAAAAATTCAGAAATGTCCATCCCCAACTACAACATTTTCCGACTAGATATAACTGCCAAAGGGTGTGGAGTTGCAATCTACTGTACAGATAGCCTGCAGAGCTCTATCATACTATCCAGGTCTGTGCCCAAACAGTTTGAGCTCCTACTTCTAAAAATCCACCCCTCAGCCCCCAGCTGTGCCCTGGACACCATATGTGAATTGATTGCCCCCCATCTATCCTCAGAGTTCGTACTGCTTGGTGACCTAAACTGGGATATGCTTAACACCCCGGCCATCCTACAATCCAAACTAGATGCCCTCAATCTCACACAAATTATCAAGGAACCTACCAGGTACAACCCTAAATCCGTAAACATGGGCACCCTTATAGATATCATCCTGACTAACTTACCCTCTAAATACACCTCCGCTGTCTTCAACCAGGATCTCAGCGATCATTGCCTTATTGCCTGCGTCCGTAATGGGTCCGCGGTCAAACGACCACCCCTCATCACCGTCAAATGCTCCCTAAAACACTTTAGCGAGCAGGCCTTCCTAATTGACCTGGCCCAGGTATCCTGGATGGATATCGATCTCATTCCATCAGTAGAGGATGCCTGGATGTTCTTTAAAAGTGCTTTCCTCTCAATCTTAAATAAACATGCCCCATTCAAAAAATTCAGAACTAAGAACAGATATAGCCCCTGGTTCTCCTCAGACTTGACTGCCCTTGACCAGCACAAAAACATCCTGTGGCGTACAGCATTAGCATCGAATAGCCCCCGCAATATGCAACTTTTCAGGGAAGTTAGGAACCAATATACACAAGCAGTTAGGAATGCAAAGGCTAGCTTTTTCAAACAAAAATTTGCATCCTGTAGCACTAACTCCAAAAAGTTTTGGGACACTGTAAAGTCCATGGAGAATAAGAGCACCTGCTCCCAGCTGCCCACTGCACTGAGGCTAGGAAACACTATCACCACCGATAAATCTACAATAATCGAGAATTTCAACAAGCATTTTGCTACGGCTGGCCATGCTTTCCACCTGGCTTACCACTACCCCGGTCACCAGCTCTGCACCCTCCGCTGCAACTTGCCCATGCCCCCCCGCTTCTCCTTCACACAAATTCAGATAGCTGATGTTCTGAAAGAGCTGCAAAATCTGGACCCCTACAAATCATCTGGGCTAGACAATCTGGACCCTTTCTTTCTAAAAATTAGCTGCAGAAATTGTCGCAACTCCTATTACTAGCCTGTTCAACCTCTCTTTCGTAACGCCTGAGATCCCCAGAGATTGGAAAGCTGCTGCGGTCATCCCCCTCTTCAAAGGGGGTGACACTCTAGATCCAAACTGTTACAGACCTATATCCATCCTGCCCTGCCTTTCGAACATTTTTGAAATCCAAGTTAACAAACAGATCACCGACCATTTCGAATCACACCGTAACATCTCCGCTATGCAATCCGGTTTCCGAGCTGGTCATGAGTGCACCTCAGCCACGCTCAAGGTCCTAAACGATATTATAACCACAATCGATAATAGACAGTACTGTGCAGCCATCTTCATCGACCTGGCCAAGGCTTTTGACTCTGTCAACCACCGCATTCTTATTGGCAGACTAAATAGCCTTGGTTTCTCAAATGACTGCCTCGCCTGGTTCACCAACTACTTGCTCATTTGCACCCCAGTATCTCTATTTGCACATCATCTCTTGCACATCTATCATTCCAGTGTTAATATTAATTGTAATTATTTTGCACTATGGCCTATTTATTGCCTTACCTCCATAACTTGCTACATTTGCACACACTGTATATATATTTTATATTTTCTGTTGTATTTTTGACTTTATGTTTTGTTTTACCCCATATGTAACTCTGTGTTGTTGTTTTTATCGCACTGCTTTGCTTTATCTTGGCCAGGTCGCAGTTGTAAATGAGAACTTGTTCACAACTGGCTTACCTGGTTAAATAAAGGTGAAATAAAAAATAAATAAATAAATTACAGGGGAGAATGTTTGCAATAAAGTATTGGGGTCATTCTGGGGTCATGGGGTGGTTGTCAGCCGTGTTTGTAGTCAAGTGGAGGTTAATGTCAACATTGTCTGCACCAGGTGACAGGGAGTTTACCAATTAAGAACTTGACTTTGATGCAGGGTCGTTGTGGGGTCAAAGTATGGTGCGAGATTAAGAATCTGTAAACACTTGTCTTGCCTGAGGAATCTGAGGACACACACACACCTGCAACCATCCTCTATAAATACACAGACACACACGCCATCATGTGCCAAAACCAAATCTTAATGATACATAATTACTCCTGTATTTTGCCAAAATCATCCAAACCTCAGGAGTCACGCAATCCTGCCTCATCTGATGGGAGTATATTTTAAGTTTAAAATATTGCACTGAACGAGACATGATAGCCACAAGTGCAAAGTGTATCTGTCATTGAGCAGACACTATGAACTAATGAATTAACACAGAGTGTGAAGTGAAGCATATTCTTCTTCAGACAAACTTTGCTTCTTACACGTTGATTGTCCTTTGTGTGAACATAGCGGCTTGCTGGACCCCAGGAAGGGGATCCTTAATAAATATAAATACAAAATACCACACCATGCTGTATCCGCACTCCTGTCCCTCTGTCCTATCCATCTCTCTCTCTTGTTGTTGGACAGATGGGAGATGACAAGGACAGCTCAGGGAGCTTCTCAGAGGAGCAGAAGGCCAAGCCCATCCCCCCAAGGCCCTCGCTGGTATCCCCTGAGCTGAAAGCCATGATCCGCATCAGGACAAAGTACCAGGCTCTGAAGAGACGTCGGCTGGACTCAGCCACTGGGCTCTTCGCCTCAGGTAGACCCTCCACAGGCCCCGATCCCGGCTCACTCACCGCCCCAGGCAGGTCTTCAATGGGCACCGGCACACCCACCGCCCCAGAGATCTTCAACTCCAATGGCAAGGAGCCCCCCCACAGCAGGAGGAGGAGGAAGAGGTCTCGAGTGCTCTTCCCTAACAACTGTTGCAAGGTCGTCCCCAGTGACAAGGACCGGAGCCGGGCCAAACCATTCTTTGTCCTCTTCGGTATCATCGTATCCCTTCAGGTCACCTTTAAACTTGTCTATTTCCCCTAAAGGGTTTACTGTGATTAGAACCTGTCCACTCCTTTTCCCCACTCTACTTCAACCTCTCAGTCCCTAGTTACCCAACTACAGATATCATTATCCCCTGGGGTTAATGTACAGGCACAGCCACATGATTTGCCTAGTACTGTATATCCCACGGTTGCCATGACAGCAACAAAATACATTGCTTTTTTTTTTAAACCACTAAATGTGTTGCATTATACTCAAAACAGCTAAAGGGCTTTGGAAATGCCAAATTATGCTTCAGTTTCATTGTGGATGAGGATAAAGTGGAGTTATTTTCCAGTATGTGATTTGCTAAATGTGTTCCACTGCTCACCTGTCCTCCTACTAGTGGCATTGAACAGAATCAACAGAATGGAATGTTATTCCAGTCAATAACACGTAACAAAATGACTTCCCTTCCTGTCCTCTTGCAGGTTTACAATGCCATCGAGAACCTGGATGACCATGTGGCACCGTATGACCTGGAGGGCCTGGAGAAGACGCTGCGCAGGGAAGTGTTTGGCCAGCAGGGGGCGATAGAGGAGCTGATGGAGCACCTCCAGGGCTACCTGTCCACCTACGCCCACTCCCAGCCCCTGGCCCTGGCCCTGCACGGCCCCAGCGGCGTGGGCAAGAGCCATCTGGGCCGCCTGCTGGTCCGCCACTTCCGCTCGGTGCTGGGAGAAGACCTGGTGGTGCAGTACTTCACCCTACACCACTGCCCCCTGCAGGGTGATGTGGGCCAGTGCGCCCGAAAGCTGTCCCTCTGGGTGGAGGAGGTGGTGGAGCATGCCGAGGCTCAGGAGAAGATCCCTGTCTTTGTGCTAGATGAGGTGGAGTTGATGTCGGCTCCGTTGCTGGACGTGCTGCAAGGCCTGCTTCAGCCCAACCAGACCAACGAGCATCTGAACGTCATCTATGTCCTCCTCAGTAGTCTGGGGCAGGAGGAGATCACCAGACACATACTGCAGAATGTCTCTGGCACGACGCAGGCAGCCGGAGCTCTACTGCGGCATACCCTGGCAGAGCATCACCCTCTGTGGGCAGAGGTGGGGCTGGATATTGTGTCCCTGATGCTTCTCGAAAAAAGCCATGTGATGGAGTGTTTGCTGGAGGAAATGACACAGGAGGGGTTCTACCCTGACCACGGCCATATTGAGCGGCTGGCAGAGGAACTGTCCTATTTCACCACCATGGGTCACCAGTACTCCCAAAATGGCTGCAAACAAGTGGTGACTAGAGTCAACCTTTTGTGAGAACATCCACAGAGTGATAATCAACAGTTGGCCAAACCCAATTAAACATCATTTGTACAGCTTCATTCTTACTTACTTACCTACTACTCTGCCGAAAGAGTATCACCATTTTCTCTGTTTGCCCACTTTACCCAAGGATCTGTTCTTGGTTGGATGGCATTACTACCATTCTTAGCTGGCATCTCGTGGTTGTCACGTTGGAGTTTCAGCATGCTAGGCTAGCATAGTAGCCTTGGGTTACTATGACAGATTTGGTCTCCAGCGGTTGCTCTGGTCCCTCTGAATGATGTTCGATCAACTTTGGGTACAGCTGCTCTTTTGCTGTTTAGCTAAAACAAAACATCAGCGCGGAGAAGCGTATTCCTCGTCTGATATTTTGTTGACTGAATGGCCTTGAGACAAACGCCAGCCAGCCAGACTTTGGACTCAACACTGTTTTTTACTTTTCAAAACCTCATGTGCGTCTGGGCACGTCCTTCCATCCACCATATCCAAAAATACCCAGATAGAAAGATATTGTTTTCGACCATTGAGCTCTCATGAATTCCCACCATCTTGAACGATCTTCGGTTCAAAGCAATCAAACCATATGACACTGTCTGCTCTTCTTGAAAATAAACCAAAGGTTAATTGTACTTGAATGTTGATGATTTGCACTGTGTCTCCTTTTACAGTTGGTGAACTATGAGAACAGGGTCCTACTAATGTGATTATGTATAACTTTAAAGCACTTTTTGGGGCTCAGAATGACCATGCCTGCTTGAACTTCAAAGGTGCTCCCCTGGCGTTAATCTCTTCAAAACTGTAGTGATAACAAGGACACAGACAGAAAAAAAACAGAATGTTCAAGAGAAAGAAATTAGACAGACAGATGGAGATGGATTGGCTTACCTGATAGACAGACAGACAGATGGAGATGGATTGGCTTACCTGATAGACATACAGTAGAGACAGACAGACAGTGGAGGTAGATTGTTTTACAGACAGACAGACAGACAGACAGACAGACAGACAGACAGACAGACAGACAGACAAAGAGACAAGCAGACAGACAAAGAGACAAGCAGACAGACAGACAGACAGATAAAGAGACAAGCAGACAGACAGACAGACAGACAGACAGACAGACAGACAGACAGACAGACAGACAGACAGACAGACAGACAGACAGACAGACAGACAGACAGACAGACAGACAGACAGACAGACAGACAGCATGGCTTGACACGGCCGGACGGACGAGAGGAGATGAGATGGCTTAGCTTAACAACGGTCATTGAAATTGTTAAAAGGTTTTAAAAACAATTCTAGTTGGACAATGGATGAAGATACTCCAAACATTTAGAATTTTTATAATCCATCAGATATTGACTGAATTATAGCACATAAATCATTTTACTGGCATGGACTAATAATTAATCGAGTTCAGGGATTTTGGTGGGAATTCAGGTATTTAATTTATTGTCAAATGTCCCTTTTTTTCTTAGAATGCACTCATATATACATTTTCTTATTGTAGCAGGTTTTAAAAAAATATTTTGTGTTAAAACAAAGACAATTATATATGTCTCATTTTGAATAAATACTCCAGTTATATTTGCATATATGAGTACATTAACATAACGGGATGGAACAGGGCTGCAACCATCAAACGCTTGCTCTGTCTACTACCCTACCTGCCCTGTCTAGACAGCCTAATAATTACTGTTGTTGTCTCGTTCTCTTGCCTAATTCAACAAGTCTGTCAATAGCAGGACACCCTCGGGTTAAAAATCAACCCGCTTGGTTCTAGATTACACCTATCTATACATACTTTACGTTGTTTGCCAGATCAAACATACTATCACTATAATCCGAGTGTTCATTTTCGGAAGTTGCTTTCATTTCAGCGCCTCTAATTTGTAAACATTTCAACTGTATTAAATGATTACTTTTTTTCAATTCCACAAAAAATATATACACCATCAAAATAAAGTTATCCTGCTTCTCTTTCTTGTGATGTAAGTGTCCAGCCGATGCGTTAAATCCCCCACGAAGCTTTAGCGTTCTTATGGATTCAATGGAAAGACAATGTTTTCCACTGAGCCCATTTGAGCCATTACCGGGGTGTGTTTGACAGGTCATTACATACATTTCCGGGGTGGTAACGTTAACGGGGGGGGAAACGACAGGCACAAGCAAGAGTATAAAAGAGTCTCAGGAGTAAAATGAATGCAATCAATCCAGCGACATTTACGTGACAAGTGGAATTTGCACCCCACAGACACATAAAATAGATGGCTGAAAAAGACAGATCCTCAGGTGGGCGGGGCATGCGCGTTGATACTTGTCTTTGCTTGATGAGTTCATTGCGTGCAGTGAACCAGAGCAGACAGTGGGAACATCTGAGGATCAAACAGGGAAAAACATTCCTTAAATCTTTCTTATTTTGTGGTCGAAGCCTGCTGAGAATGCATGCTGGTAAAGGTGAAGAGTACACCACTATTATCACGACATCACACCCCATTGTGATTTCATCAGTTTACTATATACATATTTCTGTGGGGTCACAAGTTTTAAAAATTGCAGTTGCAAATCTTTAAAATCAGTTGTTTACAAATGATTGTTGTAGTCAAATGGAGGCAACTCAACCATAAGTCTCTACACTATGTTACCACTGTATCTTCTATTTCCAGTCCATGTGTAATGATTTAAGTACAAACAAAGAGTAATATGGAGGAAATCGGGAAAACTTGAAGATTTCAATGGACACAATTATAAGGGCTAGGGTTCTGAGAGCCAAAAACTGGAACATAGAGTGGTTTATTAACAACTTCAGTTGGTATGGCAATAAATCGGTTACCTTAAGGGAGTGGCTGCAGGGATAGAGCAGCCCCTCCCCCCCAAAAAACAAAAACAAAGCAAGTGTAAATATGCCAGACTTATAACCACAAATGTTAACATGCTAGTAAACATCCTGCCTTCCAAGAGAAAACACCTACAGTTCAGGATCTTTATTTTCCAAATGGTTTTCTACTTGGTTTTCCAAATTCATTGCTCCTTTAATGAAGAGGTCAATCGGAATGATAGAAGTAATCACGATGTATGAATCTAACTCTACCAGTCAAAAGTTTGGACAGACCTACTCATTAAAGGGTTTTTATTATTATTATGTTTTACTTCTTTCTACATTATAGAATAATAGTGAAATAACACATATGGAATCATGTAGTAACCAATAAAGTGTTAAACAAATCAAAATATGTTTTAGATTTTAGATTCTTCAAAGTAGCCACCCTTTGCCTTGATGACAGCTTTGCACACTCTTGGCATTCTCTCAACCAGCTTCACCTGGAATGTTTTTCCAACAGTCTTGAAGGAGTTCCCACATATCTCCCAGAGTGCGAAGAGCCTAGGCGTGACCCTGGACAACACCCTGTCGTTCTCCGCCAACATCAAGGCGGTGACCCGCTCCTGCAGGTTCATGCTCTACAACATTCGGAGAGTGCGACCCTGCCTTACACAGGAAGCGGCGCAGGTCCTGGTCCAGGCACTTGTCATCTCCCGTCTGGACTACTGCAACTCGCTGTTGGCTGGCCTCCCTGCCTGTGCCATTAAACCCCTACAACTCATCCAGAATGCCGCAGCCCGTCTGGTGTTCAACCTTCCCAAGCTCTCTCACGTCACCCCCCTCCTCCGCACACTCCACTGGCTTCCAGTTGAAGCTCGCATCCGCTACAAGACCATGGTGCTTGCCTATGGAGCAGTGAGGGGAACGGCACCTCTGTACCTTCAGGCTCTGATCAGTCCCTACACCCAAACGAGGGCATTGCGTTCATCCACCTCTGGCCTGCTGGCTCCCCTTCCTCTGCGGAAGCATAGCTCCCGCTCAGCCCAGTCAAAACTGTTCGCTGCTCTGGCACCCCAATGGTGGAACAAGCTCCCTCACGACGCCAGGACAGCGGAGTCACTCACCACCTTCCGGAGACATTTGAAACCCCACCTCTTTAAGGAATACCTGGGATAGGATAAAGTATTCCTTCTAACCCCCCCCCCCCCCCCCCTCCCCCCCCAAATTGTAAAGTGGTTATCCCACTGGCTATAGGGTGAACGCACCAATTTGTGAGTTGCTCTGGCTAAGAGCGTCTGCTAAATGACGTTAATGTGCCCTTGAGCAAGGCACTTAACCCTAATTGCTCCTGTAAGTCGCTCTGGATAAGAGCGTCTGCTAAATGACTAAAATGTAAAATGTATATATGCTGAGCACTTGTTGGCTGCTTTTCCTTCACTCTGCGGTCCAACTCTTCCCAAACCATCTCAATTGGGTTGAGGTCGGGTGATTGTGGAGGCCAGGTCATCTGATGCAGCACTCTTGGTCAAATAGCCCTTACACAGCCTGGAGGTGTGTTGGGTCATTGTCCTGTTGAAAAACAAATGACAGTCCCACTAAGCGCAAACCAGATGGGATGGCGTATCGCTGCAGAATGCTGTGGTAGCCATGCTGGTTAAGTGTGCCTTGAATTCTAAATAAATCACAGACAGTGTCACCAGCAAAGCACCATCACACCTCCTCCTCCATGCTTCACGGTGGGAACCACACATGCGGAGATCATCCATTCACCTACTCTGTGTCTCACAAAAACACAGTGGTTGGAACTAAAAATCTCACATTTGGACTCATCAGACCAAAGGACACATTTCCACCAGTCTAATGTCCATTGCTCGTGTTTCTTGGCCCAAGCAAGTCTCTTCTTATTATTGGTGTCCTTTAGTAGTGGTTTCTTTGCAGCAATTCGACCATGAAGGCTCTGAACAGTTGATGTTGAGATGTGTCTGTTACTTGAACTTTGTGAAGCATTTATTTGGGCTGCAATTTCTGAGGCTGGTAACTCTAATGAACTTATTCTCTGCAGCAGAGGTAACTCTGGGTCTTTCTTTCCTTTGGAGGTCCTCATGAGAGCCAGTTTCATCATAGCACTTGATGGTTTTTGCGACTGCACTTGAAGAAACGTTCAAAGTTCTTGACATTTTCCGTATTGACTGACCTTCATGTCTTAAAATAATGCTGGACTGTCATTTCTCTTTGCTTATTTGAGCTGTTCTTGCCATTATATGGACTTGGTCTTTTACCAAAGTCTGTATACCACCCCTACCTTGTCACAACACAACTGATTGGCTCAAACGCATTAAGAAGGAAAAAATATCCACAAATTAACTTTTAACAAGGCACACCTGTTAATTGAAATGCATTCCAGGTGACTACCTCATGAAGCTAGTTGAGAGAATGCCAAGAGTGTGCAAAGCTGTCATCAAGGCAAAGGGTGGCTATTTGAAGAATCTCAAATATAAAATATATTTTGATTTGTTTAACACTTTTTTGGTTACTACATGATTCCATATGTGTTATTTCATAGTTTTTATGTCTTCACTATTTTTCTACAATGTAGAAAATAGTAAAAATAAAGAAAAACCCTTGAATGAGTAGGTGTGTCCAAACTTTTGACTGGTATTGTATAAAATGTTAAACAGCTTATTAATGATAACAGCTTCTTATCACGTAATTTATATAAACCTCTGAGTCACCTCACCAGTGGAATGCAGGTTAGGGTGTTTGTGTGTCTAAATATAGTTTAGGTGGGGTTACCTGGCTGCAGGAGAACAGGCTACGCCCACTCTTCAACTACTTAAATACATTCTGTGGAAGACTACAAAGAGGAAAGGCACAAGTGCAGAAAGATTGAGATGAAGAGGAAGTCAGCTAGAGAGATAAGGTGAAAGACAGGGAGGTATGACTGAAATTATAAAGACAATATTATAATAAGCTGAGTCAAACGTTCTTCAGAGGAAAGGGGTAAAAACACTCAGTTTTACTTGAGAGAGTGAGATTTGATTGCCGGAGAAAAACAGGTGAGTGGACAGGCAGAGCAAACAGACAGGCAGACAGAAGAGACCAACTCTACAAGAGAGACCTGCTCTTGCTTCACAATGTGTGCCTCCAGTTCAGAGAGTCAAGCTACTTCCTGGCGAAGTCTCCCCGTCGGGCCCCTAGGAGCCCCTGCTGCAGCTGGGGGGACATACCGGCCGGCGTCTCTCCGGCCCCGAGGACGCAGGCCGCTCAGGGTGCTCTACCCTCCCCTGGTGAGGAGAGTCCTGCCCCGGGAAGAGCCTGACTCCGCACGTCGCTGGCTGCTACTCCTCTTGGCTCTGCTCTTTCTGCAGATCTACACAGAAGAGTCGTCCTGCGGACCCCCTGAGCTCCAGCTGCACACCCCGGAGGCCTCCCCATCCCCAAGCTTCCCCCAGGAGGGAGAGGGGATCACGGACATTGCCAGGCTGTGGGGGGGGGGCCGAACGTGGACCAGCACTTGAGGTCACAGTAGAGTGTGCAGTGTGACTGTAGAGTCAGTTCTAGAGTGACTTGGCCTTCAGCAACTAAGACACAGGAAGTTTCTCTCACTCACACGATTGCTCAGTGAGCAGGATAAATCCAGTTGTTTCTAGTCTGGGCTGCAGCACTGACTCTGGGGGTAATTCAATCCCCTCTCTTCGTCATCAGCCAATCAACACAAGGGAAAAAATATCCTGCGTTGGTTTAGGAAGAGGGGAAGAGCTAGCCGTTAATGACTCATATGCGTCAGAGGCAACCCCTCTCATGCCCCCAGAGAGAGAGAGAAAACACACGCACCGCCGGTAACGGAGTGTCTGTCTCAGTCTCTCCACTGCGTGTGCGGATGAACACGTGTGTGCTCACTGCTCAGAACCACCGTGGTGCTCACTCACAGACGCTTTCACCGGTGGTTGTGATGATTCGCTTTCCTGGACATTTGGATTGCTGATGAAATGTTGTCTTCATCCTTACAACCTTTCACTCGTGTAAATGTTGAACTTAATATTGTTATGTCGTGATTAATTATATGAATTTGATTTTGATATATTAATAAAATATCAAGAAAAACTTTTGATGAGCTTGTTTCTCTTTGATATTAGATTATAAATGAGACATGAAACAATCAAATGTATTTTGTTTTCCTTAAACAAAACATATCAATACACATTGATACTCACACACACACACGCACACCGTTTTCAGCTGTGCTAACATAATTGCAAAAGGGTTTTCTGTGGTCCTCTGTAGCTCAATTGGTAGAGCATGGCGCTTGTAATGCCAGGGTAGTGGGTTCGATCCCCGGGACCATCCATACGTAAAAATGTATGCACACATGACTGTAAGTCGCTTTGGATAAAAGCGTCTGCTAAATGCCATATTATTATTCTAATGATCAATTAGCCTTTTAAAATGATAAACTTGGATTAGCAAACACAACGTGCCATTGGAACACAGGACTGGTGGTTGCTGATAATGGGCCTCTGTACGCCTATGTAGATATTCCATTAAAAATCAGCAGTTTCCAGCTACAATAGCCATTTACAACATGAACAATGTCTACACTGTATTCCTGAATAATTTGTTGTTATTTTAATGGACAAAAAAATTGCTTTTCTTTCGAAAACAAGGACATTTCTAAGTGACCCCAAACTTTTGAACGGTAGTGTAAGTAATATACAGTGCTATGAAAAAGTATTTGCCCCCTTTCTAATTTTCTCTACTTTTGCATATTTGTGATACTGAATGTTATCAGATCTTCAACCAAAACCTAATATTAGATAAAGGGAACATAAGTGAACAAATAACACAACAATTACATATTTATTTCATTTATTTCATAAACAAAGTTATGCAACACCCAATTCCCCTGTGTGAAAAAGTAATTGCCCCCTTACACTCAAAAACTGGTTGTGCCACCTTTAGCTGCAATGACTCCAACCAAATGCTTCCTGTCGTTGTTGATCAGTCTCTCACGTCGCTGTGGAGGAATTTTGGCCCACTCTTGGTTTTCGCCAGGCATAATGGGACCCATCTCGTCCAAAAAGTTGACTCAAGTTTGCCAAAAAGCACCTGGATGATCATCAAGACTCTAGGAAGAACGTTCTATGGACAGATGATTCAAAAGTATAACTTTTTGGACGACATGGTTCCAGTAATGCCTGGCGAAAACCAAACTCTCCATTCCACAGTAAGAACATCATACCAAAGGTCAAGCATGGTGGTGGTGGTGTGATGGTTTGGGGATGCTTTGCTGCCTCAGGACCTGGACGACTTGCCTTAATAGAAGGAACCATGAATTCTGCTCTGTATCAGAGAATTCTACAGGAGAATATCAGACCATCCGTCTGTGAGCTGAAGCTGAAGCGCAGCTGGGTAATGCAGCAAGACAATGATCCAAAACACACAATCAAGTCTACATTAAAATAGCTAAAAAGCAACAAATTGGAAGTTTTGGAATGGCCTAGTCAAAGTCCAGACCTAATCCCAATTGAGATGTGGTGGCAGGACTTGAAACGAGCAGTTCATGCTTGAAAACCCACACGTCACTGAGTTAAAGCAGTTCTGCATGGAAAAGTGGGCCAAAATTCCTCCACAGCGACGTGAGAGACTGATCAACAACTACAGGAAGCATTTGGTTGGAGTCATTGCAGCTAAAGGTGGCACAACCAGTTATTGATTGTAAGGGGGCAATTACTTTTTCACACAGGGAAATTGGGTGTTGCATAACTTTGTTTATGAAATAAATGAAATAAATATGTAATTGTTGTGTTATTTGTTCACTTATGTTCCCTTTATCTAATATTAGGTTTTGGTTGAAGATCTGATAACATTCAGTATCACAAATATGCAAAAGTCGAGAAAATTAGAAAGGGGGCAAATACTTTTTCATAGCACTGTACATATATTGCCATATATTACTTTTCCGTATGGGACCAATCAGTATCAACCAGTACCAAACAGTACTCTATACACCTTTGCGCAACAACCTGAGAACTACCTGAGCTCATACAACCTACTGCAAGCATTACAGTATGACTCTTTCAACACACCCTGCTAAATGAGCCAGGATCACCCACCCACGCACACACAGTACACTTATCACACTGCAAATAAAAGTGGCATCGATGATGCCATTCTGTTTACACATAATATAGTAAGACACTAGGTTACCTTTACAAGCATGACATAATCTTTCAACTCATGTCCTAATATGTCAACCTTCCTGTCAGACAGAGTGGGTGTCACACACCCCACCCTCGGTGACTCTGACTCGGGTCTGTGACATAGCCTGCTGGTGCGCCTCTCTCACCTGTCATTGCACTGTAATCCTCTCAACAGGTGTACTGTTCTAAATAGGGTCGCAAAAAAATACTTCTCCAGAAATCCTGGTTGTGGGGATTCCAGATTTCCTGCTGATTTCCACCTTGATTCGAGGAATCTTCCATCTGGGTTTTCTGGAAAACATGGGAATTTGGTGATAGTTATAGGAATCTTGCAACCCTAGTTCTAAATTAATCAATTATTATGATCTGTTCCACAGCTTCTATATGATTGATTCCCCTGTCAATGTTAAGGGTTAGGGTTAATATTAACGTCATCATTAACATCTCAGTCATTTACTTCATGGCTTGGTGCATTGTTTTTGTATTTGCTCCATGGCAACGGTGTACCTTCACCTGTAGCATTGGGAAATGACCGCATGACAAATAATGACTGTGTCTTATTTAGCTTGAATTAATCAAATTGGTGATAAAAGTCACTGAAATGAGACACTGCAGTCCCAGGTAATAATGGCATTTCAGGAAGAAACGACTGAGACAGAGGTACCGTTGAAGTCGGAAGTTTACATACACCTTAGCCAAATACATTTAAACTCAGTTTTTCACAATTCCTGACATTTAATCCTAGTAAAATTCCCTGTCTTAGGTCAGTTAGGATCACCACTTTATTTTAAGAATGTGAAATGCCAGAATAATAGTAGAGAGAATGATTTATTTAAGCTTTTATTTATTTCATCACATTCCCAGTGGGTCAAAAGTTTACATACACTCAATTAGTATTTGGTAGCATTGCCTTTCAATTGTTTAACTTGGGTCAAACGTTTCAGGTAGCCTTCCACAAGCTTCCCACAATAAGTTGGGTGAATTTTGGCCCATTCCTCCTGACATAGCTGGTGTAACTGAGTCAGGTTTGTAGGCCTCCTTGCTCGCACACGCTTTTTCAGTTCTGCCCACAAATGTTCTATAGGATTGAGGTCAGGGCTTTGTGATGGCCACTCCAATTCCTTGACTTTGTTGTCCTTCCTTCCTCATGATGCCATCTATTTTGTGAAGTGCACCAGACCCTCCTGAAGCAAAGCACCCCCACAGCATGATGCTGCCACCCCCGTGCTTCACGGTTGGGATGGTGTTCTTCAGCTTGCAAGCCACCCCCTTTTTCCTCCAAACATAACGATGGTCATTATGGCCAAACAGTTCTATTTTTGTTTCATCAGACCAGAGGACAGTTCTCCAAAAAGTGCGATCTTTGTCCCCATGTGCAGTTGCAAACCGTAGTCTGGCATTTTTGGAGCAGTGGCTTCTTCCTTGCTGAGCGGTATATAGGACTCGTTTTACTGTGGATATATATACTTTTGTACCTGTTTCCTCCAGCATCTTCACAAGGTCCTTTGCTGTTGTTCTGGGATTGATTTGCATGTTCGCACTAAAGTACGTTCATCTCTAGGAGACAGAACGTGTCTCCTTCCTGAGCGGTATGACGGCTGCGTGGTCCCATGGTGTTTATGCTTGCGTACTATTGTTTGTACACAGTGGCGGCTCCTGAAAAAATTCTCAGGAGGGGCAATTTTTCTGATGATTTAGGTGACCTACACACATTTTAAAAAAGATATGTCCAGCAACAACATGAAGACAGGGGCAGCATATAAGTCAATACCAGAAGCATTTATTGACTGATCTCAAAAGTGTTGGCTTAGCAGGGTTGGTGGAGCCCTCAGTTTCATCTTTGCCTCGCAAAGCTAACTCAAACACTCCGCAAAACTTCACACACTGGATTAGCCGGCTGAGGATGTGGCGGTTCTTGCTAATGTCGTAGTAAATATATTTGTTATAGTGAATATGGAATATGATATGTTGAGTAAAATGTTGTGCTAAGATCTATTTAGGTCAGGAGCTGGTTATAAGTTCTGTTCCTATCCAATAACAATGGACAAAAGGGTCCTATCTTGTCAGCCTTGTCAGCAGGTGGCCAAGGACAACACCCACGCCATAGGCCTCTCAGTTCTTCCAACTCACGAGTTCTTGCTCTGAGGACACACACACACACAAACACACACACACACACATCATCACTGTTAAACACACACACACACACACACACACACACACACATCATCACTGTTAAACACACACACACACACACACACACACAAAAATCCCCTCTCTTAGGCTGAACATTTGAAGACAGAGAACCCGACTCAGAG